CATAGAGATAGCGGTCACAGCATAGCGATAGCGGTCACAGCATAGCGATAGCGGTCACAGCATAGCGATAGCGGTCACAGCATAGCGATAGCGGTCACAGCATAGCGATAGCGGTCACAGCATAGCGATAGCGGTCACAGCATAGCGATAGCGGTCACAGCATAGAGTAGCCACGACGTCTGTTCCCTGCAAACCAGGCTGCAAAACTCCATCAACACACTCAGCCTTTTTGGGGATTGTACGCGCTCCATCGCAGGAGCCTCTCCGATCTGAAGGCCGCACCGGGGCCTAGGGCGCCAAACCACCTCAATAAATACTCAAAACCATTTTCGTTTCTCGTCTCTCCAAATTGAAATGTAGCTCGCGAAAATTCAATTTGGTAGACGTCAGCCAAAAGCTACCCCCTCCAGGCCGGTTCGCTTCCCCAGCCTATCGCTCGGCAAACGCCCCCTTCCAATCATCCGTGCCGGACAGGCAGCCGCTTAAAAGCGGAGCAACTCCCACTCTCTGCCTTCTCGAAGCCTCGCAACCACCGCCTCCCCTCCTCCTCCTCTTCACCCTGCCTCCAACCTGCCTCCAATCTGCCTCCAATCTGCCTCCAATCTGCCTCCAATCTGCCTCCAATCTGCCTCCAATCTGCCTCCAATCTGCCTCCAATCTGCCTCCAATCTGCCAAAATGCCGCCACCAGTGCCTAGGTCCCGGGGGATTGTACGCGCTCCATCGCAGGAGCCTCTCCGATCTGAAGGCCGCACCGGGGCCTAGGGCGCCAAACCACCTCAATAAATACTCAAAACCATTTTCGTTTCTCGTCTCTCCAAATTGAATTAACATTCGACCAAATTCTCTCTCTTATTACTCATTTTCATACTGCTTTTTGTAGCTGCTTTTTATTTTTTAAATGCATTGTGAATGTTTACGAGGCAATGTTTCAGATTTATGCAGCTAAAAATAATAATAATAATAAAAATAATAATGATGATAATAATGAAAATAATGATACATCAAACTTATATGGCTTTTTTTGGATTCTCAAAGACACTTTACAAAACATACACAAATAAACATGGAAGAACAAATTGAAGGAAGGGCAAACAGGACACAGCTGGGTTTCGAGAAGGGATTTAAAGTTCTGTAGTGAGTCGTATCTAAATCTGGAACAATCTTCCTGAAAACGTGAGACAGGCTTCACCTCTCCCGATGTTCATATCCAGGTTAAAACAGTTCTGTTTCGCTCTGCATACGACTGAAGGATTGTATCTTCAATATATTCAAATTATTTATAATTAGAATATCTTGTTTTGTCAAGCACTTTGAGTTGCCTCTTGTATGAACTGTGCTATACAATTAAACCTGCCTTGCCTTGAATATATGATGTTTTATAGCCTATAGCCTAGATGTGGCTGCTCAGTGTTAGCGCTTGGGCTTCACAGCTACAAGGTCAAGGGTTCGATTCCACCTCCAGGCTTTTCTGTTTGGAGTTTGCATGTTCTCCCCGTGTCTGTGTAAGTTTCCTCCATGTGCTCCGGTTGGCCTTACCACTGAAAACATGTACATGGGAATGGATTGTGATCGTCAGAGACTTTTACACGGCTTTGTATGACCATGGGCTGTAAAATGCGCTGTATACAGTATAGAAAGGTACTTACTTACGTACTTTCTGGCAACATACATGCATTACATATGAACTTTTGAATTCACCACTTCTTGCATAAACATTGTGAGCTCCTAAACCTCCCTGTTCAAAATCCTCGGCCTTATGTATACAATAATAATTTAATTGAATGGGTTGTGTGCGTTTGTAGACCACCAAGTATGTGTTATAATGCTAATATTATGACTACTCTCGCTTGAACTGTGAAATAACAGAAAAGGTGCTAAATTATCCTCATATTTTTACATCATGATTGTCCATAAACAGAGTGTCAGAGGAATATGTCCGTATTTATGATAAGGCAATAGTTTAAATGACTGATTGTGTAGACAACGGTGATTTCATGAACTGTGAGATAAGACTTAATGCAAGCAGTTCATAGGAAAGATGGGAATGTTGTCGCAATTGAAGTGTGCATTGTTTAAATTTATTTTACAAAAGGTTGATTCACCAACAACAGATCAGAGAATCAATCAGAATCGACAGTTCGACCACACACGCAAATAAGGCGACACGGTGGCTGAGTGGATAGCACTCTTGCCTCTCAGCAAGAAGGTCCTGCGTTCGAATCCCGGTCGGTACAGGGCCTTTCTGAGTGGAGTTTCCATGTTCTCCCTGTGTCTGCATAGGTTTCCTCCGGGTGCTCCGGTTTCCCCTACCACTAAAAACATGCACAATAGGTATGAATGTAAATGTGTGAGTGAGTGAATGGATGGTGTTGGTTGGGGGCTGATGCACCAGTGTGTTCGGCATCACCGTGTGTGGAATGATTGGAACAATATCTGAATTCTGAACATTTTAACGCGCTTTGGGTGACCTTGGTCTGTAAAATGCACTATATAAATAAACATTGCTTACAACTACTTACTACTACTAATAACAAACACATAAGAGCCTTCAATAACTAAAATGTAGTGGTTACTTTACATAAAACGCACAAATCAAATAATTATAAAAGAGGACATTTAATGACACTAAGCAGGTACATACAGTCATAACATGGAATGCATCATACCCCAGGGTTAGAGAGAGAGAGAGAGAGAGAGAGAGAGAGAGAACGAGAACCCTGGAAGGTGGAAGGTCGTCTCCCTACATTATCAAGACACAGCAAAAGAGACCCCATGGAGAGATCCCAGCTCCATATGTACCTGACCGTGATGTGCCTCTGGTCACACTGGTTTGTTCATAGGGAGTGGGATGGCTAATGTCCAGAAATGTTGACAAATGTCCTTTATTGTCCTGGATTGTCACTGTCTTTAGACCCTACAGCATGGGAAAAAACCTTGAGCGACCCACAGTGAGAGAGGGATCCACTCCTTCAGACAAACAGGCTGTAGAACAAGGACTGCGGCTGTAGGTCCAAGAGTCAGGCTGTAGAACAAGGACTGCAGCTGTAGATCCAAGAGTCAGGCTGTAGAACAAGGACTGCAGCTGTAGATCCAAGAGTCAGGCTGTAGAACAAGGACTGCAGCTGTAGATCCAAGAGTCAGGCTGTAGAACAAGGACTGCGGCTGTAGGTCCAAGAGTCAGGCTGTAGAACAAGGACTGCAGCTGTAGATCCAAGAGTCAAGCTGTAGAACAAGGACTGCAGCTGTAGATCCAAGAGTCAAGCTGTAGAACAAGGACTGCAGCTGTAGATCCAAGAGTCAAGCTGTAGAACAAGGACTGCAGCTGTAGATCCAAGAGTCAAGCTGTAGAACAAGGACTGCAGCTGTAGATCCAAGAGTCAAGCTGTAGAACAAGGACTGCAGCTGTAGGTACAAGAGTCAGGCTGTAGAACAAGGACTGCGGCTGTAGATCCAAGAGTCAGGCTGTAGAACAAGGACTGCGGCTGTAGGTCCAGAAGTCAGGCTGTAGAACAAGGACTGCAGCTGTAGATCCAAGACTGAGGCTGTATAGAACAAGGACTGAAGCTGAAGAACCAAGACTCAGGCTGTAGAACAAGGTAAAAACTACTGTAATCCTGAATGATCTGCAAGACCCTAACAATTTTTCTACACATTCGAAATCATCTTTAGCAATTCTTCAATGAACATAGAACTATTCAATTATTTCCAAGGGATGGTTTTCTCCTCATCAATCTCTCTGCCTGTATCACTAACCGTTATGAAAACAGCTCTAAGTTGATTTACGCTGCTTTTTCAATAGCAGAGCACTGTCGGTTATACGGCATTATCGATCCACTACGATGATTCCGGGGCATTTTTCCATCCCCCTGCTCCACGGGTCGTACTTTATCTTCCATCTATTTATTATCAACCATTGTACGCGCTGATTGAGACCATATGTATTCTGCAAAATGAATTATAGATTGGTATTGAGTGGGATTTCACGGTACGTTCATGGACTGTGAAAGTGGTTTGTGGAACTCGCCGCAGAGACTTGGGGTCAGCTGTGTTTTTATAATTCAATAACAGAATCTTTTATTGCAGGTTTTTCTTCACAATAGATGCAACTTTGATGTTAAATTACGAAATGGTTTGGTTCATGTATTTCCGCTTTGCTTGTCTTTTGGTAATGAAGCAAATATATGCCTTTTTTATAGCTGGGGTCCCTAAACTGTTGTTCCTTGCTGATGCAGGAGGGTCTAAAGACAGTGATTATCCAGGAAATTTAAGAATATTCATTTACATTTTATGGATATTGGTCATCCATCTCCCTGTGAACCATGGCTCCTATGTGTTAGATATATTGCAATTCCTGTGTTCGAACAGTTTGATTCTCTGATGAATTCACAACTTTGTAAAGTCCTCCGAGCCGACTGCAGTTGTGATTTAGGGCTATGCAAAAATAAATTGAATTAAAAAATGCAATGGTTTTATATACCCCTTTACAGCCGCAGCCATTTCACCTGGTGTTCCCAGAGGTCTCCCATCACAGTACTTACTAGGCCCTGTCCTACTTAGCTTCTGAGTTTTAGTATTCTTTGTTTGCAGTATTTGTGTATCTTTTTTAATATATCGCTTTCAAGGACACTCAAAGACACTTCACGTGTCATTCTTTCACTCCATACACGGTGGTAATACTACTACAGCCATAGCTGCCCTGGGGCACACTGACAAAAATGAGGCATCCAGTATGTGCCATCGGCCATTCACACACACACACACACACACACACACACACACACACACACACACACACACACACACACACACACACACACACCTAAAGACATAACAACAGTTTAGCATTTTATAGCCACAGCCGCACCCCTCTTGGTGTTCCAAGAGGTCTCCCATCAGAGTACTAACCAGGCCCTGCCCTGCATACCTTCAGAGGTCTGAGGGGATAAAGTATGGCCACAACCATGTATCCTAACCATGTGTCTCTCGTGTGTGTTGCAGTGGGTTGTTTGCCAGTTCTTACTCTGAGACGCATTATCAGGAGGACGGCAGCTCGGTGACCGGACGTCACAACTTTACAGTGAGTACACATACTTTTATGTCGAATGAGTTCCATCATTTGACCAGAAGTTTCTCTGCCTTCTCATGTTGTTGAACTTGACCCAATACGTACAGACACATGTTAAAACCTATTTAAGAAACTCACAGCAGTACCCAGCATCTGCTACTACTGCTACTACCACTACTACTATTGCTACTACCACCTCTTTATACTACAGCAATGGAAGGCTGCGGCCGATCACTTCCTTGTGCGCTCTGCAGAGGAAGTGATCGGCCGCAGACTTCCATCGCTGCAGGACCTGTACGTCGCCCGAGCTCGAGGCCGGGCTGGTTGTATCACAGCCGACCCCTCTCACCCTGCACATGGACTATTCCAACCACTCCCCTCAGGCAGGAGGCTGCGGTCCATCAGGACTAGAACCTCCCGCCACAAGAACAGTTTCTTCCCCTCTGCTGTTGGACTCTTGAACACTTCTTAACCTGTCCCCCCGCCCTTTATAAAGTCACTTTACTGCCCATCATACGTCACTTTACTTCACTGTACTGCTGTCACCTTACATTGTGCAATACACAAGTGCACCATGTGCACTTGTGTATTGTAAATAGTAACTGTAACTCTATTTTAAATTTAAATTTATTCCTTAGAAGTGTTTTTTATTCTTTATTTTTATTATCTCTTTCTGACTGTTGCACTGAGCCAAAGCAATTTCCAAGTCTGTGACTTCCTGTTACTTACGTGGCAATAAAAATGATTCTGATTCTGATTCTTATACAAATTCTTTAGCTACAACTTCTTTTGCTAAAATCTTGGCCCAGAGTTACTGATTGAGTAAGAAAACTAAATCCACGATTACTACAAATACCTCTGTACTACTAATATCACAGCTCCACTACTACGTTATGCTACCATCACTACTAAGACAACTACTACTACTACTACTACTACTGCTGCTGCTGCTGTACTTACTGCTACTACATCAGCACCAAAGAGAAAAAATCATTGAAGGAGAAGAAAAGCGTGTGTTTTTGGGTAATGGCTTCCTGCAGTACATTTTAGAATTGAAGTAGTCTATAATTGATCCTCCTCATTTTCATCTGAGAACAGAGCAGGGATAAGTGGATGATTCAGTCTGAAAATGTAGGAGGTTAATAACATTTTTATCGAAAAAACTGTGCCTGATGGCGGTTTTTCCACACGACAAAAAACGAAATCTTCTGTCATTTTCAGAACGTGTCTGTGGATGGTGTGTGAGGGCACTGACCTGCTTTATTTCATTTTCAGAAAAAAAAGTTAGAACAGAATTAATTGGTCAATGTTCTATCTAAAGTTCAACACCAGAATTATTTTCTTTTCACATTTCCAAGAGAGAAATCTGTAAATACAGTATAACCTCCAACACATCACTACTACTACTGCTAATAATAATCAGTTTTATACAGCGCTTTATTGGACACTCAGACTCTTCACATGTTACTGTTTATTCATTAACTCCATACACGATGGTGATAAACTACAACTGTAGCCACAGCCGCCCTGGGGCACACTGACAGAAGCAGTACCATCGGCCCACTCCGACCCCACCATCCAGTCACACACACACACCAAACTCATTCTACACTCATTCTACCCAGTGTGGAATTTACATACATGTTGTCCGCATATAGGCCGCACTTGAATATAAGCCGCAGATTTAAATGTTGTATTGTAATGTAGCATGACAAGGTATAACAGCGACAATAAACTAGTGTACTATAGCTTTTATTTATTTATGTATTTATTTGTTTATTTATTTGTTTCAATTGTGGACAAAAACAATACTACACATATTACATTTACATTTCAAATAATTGTCGTCTTGTTGCACAAATGAAAAGGAGCAGAAAGAAGAAACAAAATCTTATGTTGCCTGCCCCTTTCTTCATACATGTACAAATTACATAAACAATTTAAAAAAAAGAAAAAAATAAGATGACCTTTAGCACTTCTTCAAACTGTTTTTATTTTATGTGTTTTTGTTTTCATGATTCTTTGTTTTTTATTGTTTTTTCTAATCATTCATTTCGTCCGATTTCGCTATTGTTGCTTTGATTTTTTTCTTAAACATGTGGATGTTTGCGGAATTTTTTATTTCATAGTCAAGTTGATTCCATAGTTTTACTCCGACCACTGATATTCCCATGTGTTTTATAACTCAATAAGATCATGATAAAGATCCTCTATTCGTCCCACAGTGGGGAAATTTCAGTGTTGCATCAGCAGTTACAGAACAGTCAGAATGAGGAGCACACAGCACAAGATAAATGAACAATAACTCTATACTAAAATAAAATTAAATCTCTAGCTTTTGCATATGAAGGAAGCAAGTACAACCTCTCTAGATTAAGCATAACAAAGAAGCAAAATCTGGAGATTTTGTACTTCCTTCTTTATAAAAATCTCTCATTACCAACACTGTACCTTTGAATAAGACCAAAATGTATTTAAAAGACAAAGCTTTAACTATTATCCGATGGCTCGTGTTCCATGTTTTATGTCAGAGGCAGATGCAGCTGGTGCAGGGAGGACGCTCACTCCGACTTATGAATGTCTGTTCTCTGTCCGACCACTTTTTTATTAAAATCACACTAAATTATTGCCATGTGCTCCGGCAAGACACAGTGCAGAAAGAATGATAACAAACGTACAGCTCCAGGATACACACGCTGTTCCATCATTTACCTGACATTGAACCACGCTATCTTGTTTCTGTCTTTCTCTTTACGGTACGACAACACCCACGCCGTTCAATAATCAAGAAATGATAAATGCAGAGAAATGTAGACTGAGACTGTGGAGGCCAAAGTACACTCCATGGATAATGTGGAGAGAGATGCTAGCCCACTAACTGTGAAGGACCTGTGTTATCATTTCAGTTTTTCAGCGCTATAGAAATATATGTGGACGAATACGTAATATGTACTGTATGAGTCTGAAAGCATACTCACATTTGTACAAGAAATATCCCATACATTGAAATGTAAATGAAATATATTGTAGTAACTAATTGACCACTGTACTTAATGGACTTCAGAATGCTGTTTTTTGGCCATTAGCACTATAGAGCTTTTTCTGTAAATACAGTTAAACCTCTCACACATCACTGCTACTGCTTTCGCTACTACTACTACTACTACTACTGCTTTTGCTACTACCATTTTTTTTTTATATCCTAGCCCGGAGTTTTCGAGTGAGACTAAAAGCTATGCCTCGTGGTTGACTCTGGCCTGGTCTTATTGCCAGAGAATCCCGCCTCGCTTCCCTGAACAGGTGGACTTACAGGTGCGAGCTTCTGGGGATGTGACCCAGAAGGAGAGGAGCGACCTGGGGGGAGGCCCGGGTACTGCAGGACTTGGCCTCTTTAAAAGTGGCCTCACCTGCAAAAAAAACTTACTGAATGTTACCTTTGAATGTGCTTAGGGATGTGCCTACAGTGCTTCAAGAAATGTGGTCCAGTTTTCCTTCGTCAGATTTACCAGGTCGATTAGTGACATATTTTGTGCTTTTGCTTTTACACATGTCTACAGGACAGACCTGCTCTGGGGCTGACAACCCCTGAGGAGAGACGCTACTACCATTACTACTACTACTACTGCTACTACTACCACTACTACAACTACTACCGCTACTACTACTGCTTTTGCTGCTACTACTACTACTGCTGCTTTTGCTACTACTACTACTACTACTGCTACTGCTGCTGCTTTTGAGACACTATTAATTCCTACTGCTTTTGCGACACTACTACTACTCCTACTACTGCCACTACTACTACTACGTATCCTACTATTTCTACTACTGCTGCTACTGCTTTTGCAACACTACTACTACTACTAATACTTATACTACTACTACTACTACTACTACTACTACTGCTGCTACTACTACTACTGCTACTACTATTACTACAACTTCTAGTACTACTATTACTACTAAAATATCTGAACTCTGAACATTGTAAAGTACTTGGTCTGTAAAAATGCGCTATAAAAATAAATATTACATACTTACACACTAAAAACAAATTTACAGTAGCTCCCCTGAAAAATATCTATGTACATTTACATCTCCTCCAGGTGCTGCTGTTTGTCTGGATGGTGTCGTCATCTGTAAACTGTTTTGTTCAGTCTTTCTATTCATCTTTTGCATGTAACTTCAATTTATGAACTTATTCACTCGTCACAAATCAGCCATTTTCTTGGTCTGGCCTGGCTTTCGGATGGAACCAACATAATGGGAATAAAACAAGTTCACATCAACATCTTTCGACGTTCAGAACCGGCAAAACTCTTGTGGCGTTTGGGGATTTTCCTGTCAGCTCCACTTTGACTGAATCTGTGGAAGAATCATGTCCGAGGTTTAATGTGACAAACAGATGCTGGAGACTGGAGCTGGAGAAATGGACTGAGGCAGTGAATATCGAGCCAGAACAAGCTGCTCTGTGGGATCCCATGGCCCGACTAGATGCACCTGAACTGGGATAACTCTTGCAATACATCTCTCCTTCGTGTTATTTGGAAGACTTTTAGTATATTTATGTTTCCTTTCACTTTTATATACACCTATGCTTAAAAACCCCTTGAGTGTTTATCAACTCATCACCATGAATAATGGTCGAGCCTCTCAGAAATAAAGGCCTGGACTCACCTCTCTTCGAAGTCAGGACTCAGCTGATGGCACTGTAGATATTTCCCAGATAGATAGTAACTGGCTAATCGCTTTCCTTCTCTGCTTGAAATTAGCCTTACCTAGCTATTTGTGATTATATATTGAACAATGAACTACAATGAATTTACATTTAATTACAGCTAAGCATTGTTTTTAGTTGATTAATAAACTCATTGCCTGCCAGCCCATTTCAGAACAGGTACTCCCATATTGCCAGCAATCTCTGATGATTTTTTATTGATTTTTCAAGACCCACAGGATATTGTCTACAATGAATATCTGAAATCCGAAACCAGATTCTGAAAGAATGGACTGTCTACTTTCACCAGAAAAAAGAATTCTGTTTCAAGCTTGTTAAGTTCCCCTGTAATCCCCAGTCGAGTAGAGGGAAGTTTTACTGAAATCCCCAGTCTCTGACAAAAAGGCTGAGAAAAAGAGGCGCAACAAGTGCATCGTGTTTTCAAAACATACAGAGGCAGCGCTGGTGCCACCTGCTGGCTCGATAAAATATGCTCTAAAGCTAACCCCCATACATAATAAATATAAAAGACATCTGCGAACACGAAAATAGTGAAAAACGCATTTGACGTTTTAAAACGTACTATTTGATTTGACGTCTTTGCACGTCAATGGCAAACTTTTTGTATTGGTGAATCTGGCCATAGAGAAAATACAATTTTTACTTGAAATCCCTCAATCATAGTCCCACATAAATATTATTAAATGATAAATTTTTCTATCAGTCATAAACATCATATGACAGACCTGAGACTCTCGGATTGGTTCCTTGGTTGCTTGGTCGTTACCATCGGCCCATTCCGTCCTATGGAGTCAGTTAGCTTGAGTTAAACTGGACCAGATTTGTTTAACTTTAACTCGACCAAATGGTAAACATAAAGAAAAAAAAGTGCATGTTCTAGCACAATACATCTATATTAGTAGTACATAATAGCTAGTTTCTTTAATCCATTATTAATAACATATATTCTCTCACTGTTAATGTCTTTCTGTTAGTAGCACAAGATAGCTAGTTATGTCAATCTATAATTACAAATATATTTTCACACTCTTCCGGACGATCACCATATTGCGTGACAGCTAAAATCCGCAACACCTCAAGATGAAAGAGGTAGAATCTGGTGAAGGTTGTCCCCAAAATGTTCTCATAAAGCCAGACGTCTCATCCCATTACCCGCATCTTTGTATAATATATGATATAAAAACATGTTGTGGCTGTAATGTCCTCGTTTATCACCGCTGCAGCTGAATTTAAACACATGTTCCCTGCATTAGAATGATGCATCTGTCTGTGTTTCAAGCTTCTTCTTCTTCTGTCCTCAGATCAACTGCTACTATCACGGAGAGGTGGAGGGCCGAGAAGGCTCCGACGTGACCCTGAGCACCTGCGACGGGGTCAGGTGAGTGGAGCAATATAATAAATGCTTAACAACTTCCATCCATCCATCCATTTTCTTCCCCTTAATCCATTTCTGGGTCGGAGGAGAGGTCTAAAACATGGATAAATGGCATGTAATTATTATGTTTTTTTCAATATAAACTTGAAAAAGTTGTGGCTTTGCATAAAAACACTCAAATAACTTAACAAAAATATGTCATTAGGTCATTTGGATAGTATTATAGACCATATTATTCTAGCATTTTTCATGTAAAATACCTGTTCTGCATATATACTGTACAATTGTCCATTTTATTTAGGGCTAAGTATTTTTTTAGTTGCCCACATATCAATGATCAGGTTTTTTAAAATAATTGACCTGTAAAAACATAAAATCTTTACATTATTTATTACTGCAGTAAAATAGCCTCATAGATAGTCTGAGTAGGACAAAGCTGGGGTTGATCTATAAAGTATCAATCTATATATATTTAGGCCTTTTTAAACACATTTTTAGCTACTTGAATTGCCCAAAATGTGCTTTTCTCGTATCCAAAGTTTCGCTACTGCAAGAATTTCATTGAAAACAAGTGAATTATTGACCACCCAAACCCCCATTAAACCCTAATTTCCTGATGGTGCCTGTGTAAAGTGTGCTCTGAAATATGAGGCTGGCGAGAGAGCAGGTGATAACTCCATTATGAGGACTTTGTAATGGGATAAACACTGGTTAAGCAAAAACATAGATCGATTGTTGTCTTAAAATTAGATTGGGCAAGATTAAAGTTTCGCCAAAAAAACAAGGTGCATACAAAAAGCCACCATAAAGAAACAAGCCTTTAATCTCATCTCAGTGATTTGTGTGTGGCAAAGAATATTACACCGATCTATGTACTTTAAGTAAATAGGAAATATCAATGATAAATGATTCTATTGTTGCTCTATCAATTCACAATTCAATGTAATCGCTACTACATGTTTTGTTATTATATGCTGTATGTGTTGACTTAAACAGAGCTGGAATCACCCTAAGATAATGTTGAATAGTGTGAACCCATCTGCATGTAAAAGCCAAATCCAGTCAAGTTGATTCAGGCAACTCCTGCTCCACCAAAGGCCTTATAATGCTCCCGATGTCTGCCTCGCAAAATAATCTGTTAGCTGTTAGCATTGTGTGTTAGCATCTTTAGCTAAGAATCTTTGACCTAAATGTCTCAGATGAAAAGAGAAAGATTTACAGTACATGTGGTGATTAGCTCTTAATTTGTATTTATGATGTATTTCTTAGTCACTAAATACCAATAATTTTGTATATCTTTGTATTGTCATCTGAGAAATGTGGTCAAAGATCCTTAGCTAAAGATGCTAACACACAATGCTAACAAGTGGCTTATTTTGCCAGTACTTATTATGTACTTATTAGTCCTTATTCTACATATAATTAACTGATAACTGACACTTTCTCATGTGGGCTAGAGCTAAGGTAAAGGTTACGGCTATAGTTAGGGTTATGGTTCTCAAATTATTAGGATATATTTCAAGGGTAATTTCTTCTCTTTTTCTTGTAGAGGCTTCCTGTCCCTCGCAGACCGGTCGTTTGTCCTGGAGCCGTCCTCGGAGCACTCCGATGGGACTCACTGGGTTTACTCTGCCCAGCACCTGCAGCTGCCCCGGGGCACCTGCGGCCACGAGGGTCTTAATATGTCCTCCAGGATCTCCTCACCCTCTGCTCCCGCTCACACCGATCCGACCCAGGACCAGGGGAACGTTTTCAGAGCATTCAGCACACGGGTAGGCACTGCTCACACCTCAGACATTCACTTTGGGGAGAGGGGGGTTAATATCTATGTACATTGATGAAGCCTAACTGATGAGGAGCACAGGGACTGGTCTCCTGCTGGTGCCCGGAGTTAGAACTAAACATGTGGAGGCAGCATTTCAGATTCATGCAGCTAAAATCTGGAACAGTCTTTTTGAAAATGTGAGACAGGCTTCTTTCTACTCCTAATCCAGGTTAAAAACGGTTCTGTTTAGCTGTGACTACAACAGAAAGATTTCTAAGGACATTCTATCTTGTTGCTTTGTATGAATTGTGCTATACAAAGAAACTTGCCTTGCCTAGACAGATAATCATGGACGGAATTTTTGCTCAAACTCGTATTGGTGCCATTCACTTACATTTGAAAGTAGCCGTCTCTTACTATTGTTAAATGTTTGTGCCACTCCCACTATTTTGGGAAAACACATCTGGTGGTTTAACGCTCGCTGAGATCTTGGAGGTTTTATTGAAATCATGTTTTGGCAAATTCTGATCCACTGTAGCTCTTAATAACAGACCAATGTCAGTTGCTAGGTGTTCTGCCTCCAAATTTGTATTTAGCTATTGAGTAGAGCAGGGGTCTCCAACCTTTTTCAATCAGAGAGCTACTTTTATACAACAGAAGAGGCAAAGAGCTACTCATTTTTTGAAGTTGTAATATAAATCTTTGCAACGCTTAAGACAAGAGAGAACACATGTAAATATACTATGATACTGTAAAACCTTATTTCTTTACTTATAGATATGTAATGACTGAAAATATATTAAAGCTGCACTAACTGACTTTGGGATTTTGAAGCCGCGGACCCGCTGGCCTCTCTCTTTCTGCTCCCCTCCCCGCACCCACGAAGCTATCGCCCCCACACACACCCACTGTTGGGACGAAGTAAGCGCCTCCCAATATGGATAATACATGGACATGGATTTGCACTTGGATGGCGTGACCATAGAACGATAGAACCGGGAAGCGCGGAGGAACGAGACTTTCTTTTGGATGGCTGTTTTGCTGTGAAAGCAGTAACCGGTGACGAAGACGAGGAAGCTTCAGGTTAGCTCCTCGGCTTGTTGTGCTAACTCAGCCGTCTATGCTAACAGGGACCTGTAGATTTCTCACGAAAGTGGGGGCTATTGGTCCGATGTGATTGGACACAATCTGAGACCCGAAACACATTCTCTTCCTTGTTTCATCCAGACTCGATCTAAAATATAATGTCACGCCAGCACAAATCTGCGCTACTTTTTCTTCAGAAGGACGTATATCCCAATGCCCTACACGGACATGGATAGCATTTCCGTAATGAATACAAAAATAAAGTCAGTTAGTGCAGCTTTAATTCAGGATCATGAGTTAACATCATGTGCTATGAGACTTGGGTGGCATCTCTGACTGCCACCCCCCTGACCCAGAAATGGATTAAAGGGTAGAAAATGGATGGATGGATGGAGTTAACATCTAAATCCTTTTGAGAGCTACCTTAAAGGGTCTGGCGAGTTACCGGTAGTTCCCGAGCTATAGGTTGGAGACCCCTGGAGTAGAGTTAGTAGGACCAGACTGGCACTGCTCCTGATTGGCTCTTTGGTTGCTAGGCCGTTGCTACCCACACATTTGGCTCCAGATTCCCTCTTGTAGAACTTGTTTGAGTGCGCTCTTATTGGATTTTTGTTAAAGTCTTGGAGGATTTTACAGTGATAATGCTGTTTCAGCTACAGTTGAACCTGATGAAATCTCACACAACAAAGAGACAAAGTTAATCTTTTACTCGTTACATTGTACAAGGAGAATGTCCTGACAGAGGCAAGGCACAGACCCTAGCCTCTCTCAGGACAAGTCTGAAGATTCACAGTCTGCAAGCCCCTTTTGTTAGAACAAAAGGGGCTTCGTATGCAGATGGGAAAGGAAGAAACCAACACAACAAAAGACACTCCGAATTAGCGTATACAAAGGCTGCTTCCTCTGGTGTTTAACATATGAGCTAAAGTGAATTACAATACAGAGCATTCAGCACATAGCCACATATGATTTACCAAAATGATAACTTAAGTTACATTCCAATATCATTTGCCAAGAACAGATCAGAGAATCTAACTGTTCAAACACACAAAATATAAATAAAAACAAACACATAGGAGCCATCGGTCTATAGGGAACGGAATGGCCGATGTCCAAAAATATCCTTAAATGTCCCGGATCATCACTGAGCAAGGAATATAAGTATAATTATCACATTTAATACATTGTTCAATTGTTAAGGTTTGTTATGAGGTTTGGGGTACATTTTTTTGGCCCTGGTGGTAAATACAGCTTCTGAAATTGAGCCATTATTCCATTACCTGGCAACAGTTAAAGCCAAACATTAGTGAAAAGATGTTTTGAATGATGGACCTGGCAACCTTAAATGAGGATAATCACCCTGAAAACCAAAACACAAAACGTGAAAAAATTTACATAAATTACCATTTCAAGTACCACCTGTAATATCAGCGTTTGAATGGATTCAGATACAGCCTCCCAGTCACAGTTTATTCCAAATATTGTGTGAGAAAAGTCTTGGTTTTAACAATGGAGATGAGGAAGAGCGGCGAGAACGAGATTCGACACCTTAGACTTGTTGCATTATTCACTGTTGTGCATTAGTCGTGTGAAGAGAAAGACCAGAGAGCTTTGTAGGAGCCTCTTTATGTTAACTGCTCCATTATATGTGCTGGGAGACTAAAGGGGGCCAGGTCAGGAGACATAAAACAGCTTTTAGGCCACTTTACTGCCCTTAGAAATACCACACAGAGAATATATATTTAAATTAGAAGAAGCATTGAAGAGTGAGATGAAGGGACGATGGAGAGAGATGCTATCGATGTCCTTGCATGAGAAACATACTATAATTTTTTGTAATTTAAACTAATGCTTTTTGTCCACAGGCTGTCTTAATCTTATTAGAAATGTTTTTATTGTCTGCATATTGTGAGAAAGAGCCCTGTGAGTCACTATTTGACTGTTTGGGAAGAGAGCTAATTGGCTGAGTGAGGGTGATTGTTCTCCCTTTTGCACTTTTCTGTCTGAAAATAACTTTTACAGAATCCCAAAACTGCATGAATGTGAAAACTAGTGATAGAGGCAAACTGTTTAGAGCGTGAGGAACTATGGGTACAAGGGTTTTAGAAAGTTAGAAATTAGGTCCCTCAGCTTTAAACAAAAACTAGACATCCCATACAAGCTAGCGCACATTATACAATAAAACTATGAAATCCAGCCTCCAAAATAGGACTTTATTTATTTTTTTACATTCATTCAATTTTTCACATCAAACTTCTATTCAACATCATTGATTCCTTTGTTTCTAATTATACATATATATTGATAATTGAACACAAACTAAAATCATGTGAATATGACTCCATTTCTCAGTGGAGTCCTAGATCTACGCAGCCAAAAGTGGTGAAAAATAAGTAAAAAAATTGCAAAATAAAAAAAAATTGGGAAATCTTGTTTTAAAAAAGTCAGAATGTACTCAAATTAAGACACAATGGTTATTTGGTGATGCAGGAGGGTCTAAGGAAAGTAATGATCCAGAACATTTAAAAAAAAGCATGGGCAGTGGTCCTCCCGCTCCTATGGACCAATGGCTCATTTATGTATTTGTTATTATTGCATTTACTATGTTCGAACTGTTTTTGAGTCCCTGATCTCAGTCCGATGTGAGATTTCTTTGCGAAGCAGGAGTGATGGTGTATTCAGTGCGAGACAAAGGCTGTCGACAGTGTTTCCAGCTCGTCCGTTACAAAGCCGTATAATTTGAGAAGCCATTTTGTTTTTGTTTACGGTTATGGCTCATTCTTGAGTGGCTGTCTTGTACGTCTCAATACAAAACAATACAAATGGCCCTGACTTTAATAATGCAATGAAAAAGCGAGAGAGAAATGGGACGAGAAATAGAGAGAGAGCGGTCCTCAGGCTTCAGCAGCATCAAGATCATTTCATTTGACTGTAAAATAACGTTTTTTCTTGGCTTTTCTCTGATCATAACCAGCTCTTCTACCCTTCCCTCTGCAGTTTGGATTTGGAGAAGTATTTTTTTATGGAAGATAAAAATGCAATATTGTATCACACAAAGCATGCCATTTTCAACTCTTTTTTATTACTTTGAGTGTGAAATGTCAAAGCAAAGTGTCTGCTGTTATTACAAGTATGATACCTATTATACACTAGCTTTCTTCTGTGTTTTTGAAACTTACCAAAAATATATGAAATCCAATGAATGTTTTTTTTTGTGCTCTACTTTCCATGGTCATTTTTTGATAAATATGTTTGTGTTTTTTTTCTAAACAATGGAAACAGTCTCAAAATGAAGGATAAGGAAGTGGTTCTCAAAATGTGTGGGGGATACTAAAGAAGAGGCCATGCAAAAGACGACTTCAAAATAAAATTTAAGTATTAATCAATTATTTTCTTTGTTTTTCATTGTATTTCAATGAATATTTGACACAATACACGATACTTTAAGTGAGGTTAGTTAAAATAATATAATACATGATTTAAATGAACAACAAAAGAATGGATTAAGTATTTTTGGAAAAGTGAAAAAGAGAGGACCACCCTCACTCAACCAATCAGCTCTCAGCCCAAAAAGTCAAATAGTGACTTTAAAGGGCTCTCTCTTACAAGCATACACAAGATAGCAGATCACTTTCTACTAAAATATAGACAGCCTTGTTTTGGTCTGATTTGTTCACAACATTTTTCTTGTACAATGACCTTCCTGATGAGACAAACAACATGTGCTAGAAAGAAAAAAAGGTCCCCCAGCTTTAACATGCTTTTAATTGTAAATCCACCAACAAGGATTAGCCTCGTCAATACATCACTCAGTTCAAACACACGTTTTGTTTTACGTCCAGTGCTTCCCGACAGCACTCTGGCCCTAGGGTTTGCGTACATGCCACACACTAATGTCTCGGTCCTGGTTTATCTCTGGGACAGCAGATAAGAGGTGCAGAGCCAGTAGAGTGGATGAAGAGGCTCGGGTTTGACAGGAGGGAGGATGGGGGACAATCTATCTATACGTTCACATGCAAGCTGTGTTAATGTGTTAAGCAGGAGAGGGAGGCAGATCACTGGCCCAGTCCAATTATAAATGAATTGAGAAAAACACATGTACAATTTGGTCTCAGTCTGGTCTCCCCTAGAACTTTTTTGTTTTAATTTTAGTACACAGTGTTAAAGCCACGCTAATATTAAACAAGTACATATTTGAACAAACAGGCTGCTCACTCAATTTGATCATTGTGATTCAATTTCCCTCCTCCAATTTAATAGTTTTTGCTTTACTGGTCTTTATCATGTACAGTATACAGAGACAAGAGAGGTCTGAACCTGCATGTTTACTGAGACAAGAGAGGTCTGAACCTGCATGTTTACTGAGACAAGAGAGGTCAAGATCAAGATTAATTTATTATGTCCCGTAGGAAATTTGTCTTGGACTCACAGGCTGCTACATTGAAAATACACATAAGACAGACATAAAACACAACACAGTAACACCGACATAAACCATCACCGCTCTGCTCGATGGCCTGCATTCAGGAGGTTCACAGATATGGGTAGGAATGAGTTCTTATACCGGTTTAGATATCGTTTCTTATTTCTAGTGGGTACTACTGAGAGTCTTACTTATTGGTGGTACTTAAGGCCACTACCTATGACCAGGGTGTTGAGAGAAAGCCATTGGTGCAAAGTGAAGCAATTTCTTTGACGCAATTTCACTTAAGTTTTTTTCCCTCTACACTAAAGATGAATACACACATACATTTCTGCGAATCTCGAGTAGCTCAGGGCACAGTGTCAAGTCCATCAACGTTGATAGCAACTGGGTTTTCTGCGTTTTGTACAACTTATGTAATTGGAGCAAACTTGGGGTACGTAATTCAGGTCCATTCAGATTCAGGACTCAGGCTTTAGAACAAGATTAGGGTTAAGGTTCATTCTGCAATATATGAATTGGAACGAGAAATTACAAAAAAGGTTTCAAATAACAAAATTGCTCTGAACATTCGTTGCGGACAACTACAAATCCGTTCGATTCAAGGTATTAGATAGCCGAACAACGATCAAGAGTATGTTTTGAATCAATACTCTTTATTTCTATGCCTCTCTCCCGTCTCTAGTCTAGACGCTCTATTCCTGGACCTTAAATCAACTGCTATAGCTTAGTCCGAAACATCCTGGACCACAGAAAACAATGTTACCACATCCACTTTTTGCTCTTTCTGTAAATCTACGACTAAAGTACAGCGACAGAGTTGAGGTTTCTACAACTTCATATTTTTCCCCGTTGTAAAAACAGCGGTCGTTTTGCTGAACTTTTGCCCTGAATGTGAGCGGACCATAAACTAATGTTACGGCCACTGCTCAAGGCTGGGGCTGTGTTATCTCTCTCAATAATCTTGGTTTTTATATCCCGTTGTGTGTGTTTGGTGATGTTTTCATTGTGTGAGAAAGAAGTAATTATCGAATGTGTGCTCAAGAAAAAATAATATCTTTTCAAAAATAACACAAGACAAAGAGAATGTATTATAAAACTACTTTTTGGCAACATTTCTACTTTGACAGAACTAGCATATTGATTCTTCTTTCTTTAAAACATTTCATTCCCTACAGTTCATAACACATACATTTTTACATAATTTTTGCTCAACTATGTATTGACCTCACGCAAGTTTAGTTTATTTGTATAGAACACAAAACTCTCATAGTAAGTAGTACATGTGTAGACCGACAGATGCATGTGAGTATAGACCTAGGTATGAGTTCTTGTGTGAGAGACAGACAGACAGAGAGACAGACACACACATGCATGCTCACATACACACAGACAGACACACAGAGACAGACAGGCACATAGGCTCATGAGGCGACGGTAGCTTGTTTGGTAGAGCGTTGGCCTTTGAGCCATAAGGTCGTGGGTTCGAGCCCAATTCAAGACTTTCACCATCGACTCCCACTGACTACTTTTGTTGTGTCCTTGGCAAGACACTTAACCTCTGGGAATACGGTGGGGCGGCTGTAAAGTGCCGAACTGCCGTTTTGTTCTTAGGCAAGACACTTCACCCCCATTGCCTAGAATGAGTCTGGTGTGTGGGAGGTCGGAGGGGCCGATGGCACAGACTGGTTACCTCGCTTCTGTAAGTGTGCCCCAGGGCAGCTGTGGCTCCAGTAGTAGTTTATCACCACCGTGTATGGAGTGATTGAATAATGACATGTGGGGCGTCTGTGAGTGTCAAAAAAGCGCTATATACAACTGATGTAAAAAAAACAACAACAAAAAATTCTGTCACACAGAGACCCAGGCAAACACACAGACAGACACACACACATGTGACTATACACTGGGGTATGAGTTCTCGGGTCAGAGACAGACAAACAAAAACACACACACATTCACACACACTTACACAGACATAGACAGTGACACACACACACACACACACCTTCACTAACTGAAGGTCCCATCTTATGAACTGAGAGCAGACCCGTATAGACCCATTGTATTAGCATGTACAGTATAAGGCATTACAGCGCTTCATAAATGAAATCATAATGAACAAATAAAGTATTATTGGCAGGACCTTCACCAAACCTTCCCCAATCTCTGTGTGCACATGTGTTAAGTGGCACAGTCTTTTTGCAGAGACAATTGGAAATGACAAATAAATAAGCTATACACCAGTATATGACCAAAAATAACATGGTTCCAGTGAAAGCTGTCCGCTTGGTGCTGTTATGTCCATATTCAACATGAAACACAGAAATGCCTCAAACCACTGTCTTGGTCTTTGCTCCAAACGTAAATACAATATATGCTTGTATCATTTCTACAGAAAACCCTCATGACTTGTCAACCTCAATGTTTATTTTAAAAATTAAAATATGTGAATCAAAGTCACACTGCTGGCACACGTCGGGCTTGTGGAGCAGACTCGCTCCTGCCTCGTCCAAGGAATAACTTTTTAAAGCAATCTGTTTTATATGAAGCCAATGGACCGAGGAGGAGCTGCCAAAGGAGCTCAGAGAACCACAGACGGAACACTCTATTAAGAAACAACTAAAATGTCTCGTGAAATAACACACCTTTATATGCCCTTGTAATGTGTTTGTTGATTTTTAATGATTAAGGAGTGACAATAGTACAACAAAAATATGTTTTTTTTTGTAATGTCTGCACTGGGGAAAATCAGAAACGCCAAGGTTGATTCAAATAATAAATAATCAAATAAATAATCAGGTGCTTTATGTGTTTATTTGGATGAGACAATGTGTATTAATCACCAGCAGTGACTGTAAATTTTCCAGATTGCTTTTTGTAGCTAATTTCTGTTTGTTGTGAATGGTGCCAGTGGGAAAAGACCAGCCTCACTCCTTATTGGCTCTTTGGTTGCTAAGAGGTTGCTATGGGCATAATCTTTCATAATTCCCATCCATGGAATTCAAATCAGAGCAGCTCAAATCATCTTCTTCTTCTGGTAAGATCCAAAAGCTCTGGGTGACATCACAGTTAGTCCACTCCTGTTGGCGAGTCTATGGCCAGCAACCAAAAAAAAAATAAATTGTTCAGTATCATTTTTAAAGAGACATTTTGATTCTCTTCCAAGATCCCTTTTCAATCTGAAGTAATGGTCTAGAGCTGGAAATATATAGGGCCTGTCTGCGTTTTAAAGTCTGAATCTGTATTGGCCACATCATCAAAGCCATTATTGGATTTTTGTTTGGCTCAATCACAGTTTTAAAGCACTTTATCGATCTTGCACTTGTATTGAAGCTGGTTTTGGTAGATTGATTTCACAGTGACAATTGTTTTTTGCTTCTTTTTTATTCCTGTACTTTTAGCTTCTTTTTAGCTTCTTTTTTTGTACTTGTCTGGGCACACTTGGGACTTTTGCATGTGGTTTTACTGCAAATGGCAAATAAACTGAATACGAATCTGAATCATCGCATCTTGTCTTGTTGTTTGGACTGATTCTGCGGCTGCTGCTGGGAGTCGAGAGGCTGGAGGCTTGTAATAAACGTTTTTCTTTCTGTTCGGGAGACGGGCGAAGTGTCCTCTTGTTACTTTTTGACTCCCTCACTTCATCACTCACACACTCACACTTGAAATCTCGTCTCTTCGCAGAACAAGCGCCACGCACAGACAACCACCAAGTACGTGGAGCTCATCATCGTCGCCGACAACAGAGAGGTAAACAAACAACGCACTGTGCTATAGCTGTGTCTGAGTAATGAAAGTAACGGGGACATGTTGAGTAGCATCTGTTTCAGTGGGGTAAAAATAGTGTTAAGTCAGCCACCGATTGTGCTAGTTCTGCTACTTAAAAACATGAGAGAGATCTGTAATTTGCTGTAAACGATGAGAGACAAAATTAGACAAAAAAATCTAGAGAATCCAGAAATGTTGTCAATACCAAAAGGTCATCTCAATACGGTTTTATTTATCTATTTGGATCCCCATTAGCTTCCACAAACTGCAAAAAGTTATAAAAAAATACGTCAAAAATTGCTCAAATTGGCTTGTCCCATTGGCAAATCAGACAGTCAGACTGATCAGGAAATGATCTTTGTGATGGGGAGAAGTTTGGACTCTGTGGGAGCTGCGCTGGAGCAAAGGATGAGGGCTCTAATGCAGGTGCATCCTGGGTAGATCCAGACACCCTCTGCAACAGGCTCCTATCACTGCGCTGCCCAACTGTACAATTCAAGAGAACCTTTGTTCCTTCGGCTGTCAGACTGTACAAAATAATTGGATGAGTCCTCTGCTGCTGGACACTTGAATTTCTTCTATGGGGGATCAATAACGTATCTATCTAGAATAAACTCAAATTAAGATAAAAATAATTCTATTCAAGCAAATAATACCTCACATTTGGAGTAAATGAAAATTACAGCAAAATTGGTGAATTGTGAAATGCACTACATAAATATACATGACTAACGTACTTATAATTTTAAAGGGTGCCTAAATGTATGTACATGATGAAGGAAAGGACAATCGTCTGGGATCGTGTATTTCAGACGGAAGACAAGTTCTATTGTCGATGGTAGATGAGCACAAACAGAGATTCACACAATGCAAGTGATATTATACAGGAAGAATCACAGACAGTCCGATCAGCTTCGACCTCGAGATTACCAAAACATGTAGTGGAAAAGTACTGCCTTGTGCGTATTGTTAGAGTGATGAGTGTAACTTTAACCACAGTTGCTTCAAAGTGTCATGGAATCTCCAAAATACCTTCATTTGGTTTCAATAATTCTTGCACATTTTCTGTGAATACAACTTTAATTTCACTTCTCAAATATCACTGTGTTTGTCTCCTGTATGATATATTTAACTGACATTTCTTACCCAAACCAGGAATGATTTATAGAGGAAAATCCTGAGAATGTATATGAAACTTTTGCATACCTCTACTTACAGTATATCTGGCTGCATTTATGAATAGTGGAGGCAATCGTATTTTCCCCACAAAAAACTGCAAAAATAGCGCTCATACACCCATTACAAATCTGAATGTATTTGCATATCACTCCAGGTTTAAATGCCAGGACTCTTAATCAGTATTCCTATACATGTCCACTGCTCTAAAGCATTAGGATGTGGCTTCACCTGGTCTTTCATGTGGCTGCTATCTGACATCCACAGCCTGGAGATCTTTAACATGCTGACAGAGAGTGCCCCTGTCTCTGCTTTAAGCTCTCCCGCTTTTTGGGGGTTATCTCTGGAGCCCCACGCCCCTTTGTGGAAACCTTTGAACATATGAACAGCCCAGACTCCGCCATAAGACACTGATATGTGCTGACGGAATAGAATAAAACATAGTCACAGACCCAGCGCTTGTGTTTGTACATGTACAGTGAGTTTCGGGGTTCAGAGGTGGAGCGATATAGGACTTTTTTTCTCACAGTCGTTTGAAAATGCAAGGGGAAAAAAATATATTATGGATTGAAACCAAATCAAGAAAATATATACTACCGTCTCTAATGTCTACTTTCTTTCTTGCTCCAGTTTCAGAAGCAAGGCAAGGACGTGGAGCGGGTCAAGCAGAGGCTGGCGGAGATCGCAAATTACGTCGACAAGGTAACAGATGTGTTGCTATGATGGTTGCTATGGCAAGCTGGAAAACATGGTTAATCCTTATGGCTCATATCTGAATTTAGAAAGAAAAAGCACAGATTTTTAGGATCAAAATGGTGAGTGTGAGAAAAACGGTAACGGAGCAAGAGGAGTTTACATTTCAATGGAAGTAAGTATTGAAGCCAGAGTGAGCAGGAGCAAAACTTGGGCTTTGCTGCTTAGCATGGTCCATCTAGATACAGTCTATGGTTCTTTCTCTGAGCCCACGCCAAGCCAGCCACTTGATTGGATTGAGAATTTTTCATCAATGCCACAAAAAGATGCAGGTAAAGTCCCACTAAAAAGGAACCGAAGACATTCATTTATTCATGCGAGGAGCTGTGATTAAATTTTAAGTTTGGTTCAAAGTCCGCCTCACCTTCTGAACACGGTTTTAGGTCTCATCTGCTGGTAATATACCGTGTGGGACTCATTATAAGAATTCCTGGTGTAGGCTGCAAGTGTGAATAGGATTTGATGAGACCTAGTATACAGTACATCCGGATGTAAAATAACTTTAATTCTTATTTTTATTAGTTTCTTTGTCTTTGTTTTGATACAGAGAGTTAATCAGAGAAAAACATAAGCATAATATCAATGAGTAAGTTAAAAAAAATGTAGTGATGTTTATAAAATTCTAAAACCAAATCATTAAAATGGGAACTCGCACCAGAGCGTCCAACTTGGTAAAAGTTTGAAAGTAAATACATCCATCCATCCATTTTCTTCCGCTTTATCCGTTTCCGGGTCGCGGGGGCAGCAGTGTAAGCAGAGACTTTCCTGTGATCCTGTATCCATCAACTCATCTGTGATAACTTTCAACTTTCCTTTATGGACATTGCTTCTTGTTGGTTGTCTGCATACATGAAAAAACCTTAACACCAGTGATCGTCTCTTCTTCTTCTTCTGCAGTTCTATCGGGCTCTGAACATCCGCGTGGCTCTGGTCGGCCTGGAGGTGTGGAGCGACGTGGATAAGTGCCCCGTCACCCAGGACCCCTTCACCACTCTGCACGAGTTTTTAGACTGGAGGAAAGTCAAACTGCTGCCGGTGAAACCACACGACAACGCTCAGCTCATCAGGTACAAGCAGTAATCTAGTCTCATGTGCCATAGGAAAAAAACATTGGTTGGAAAAATGAATTGGTTAGAATTAGTTGGTGCTAATGACCAATGGTTAAAAGCACAACCATACAGTATATAGATTTCACCAGATTTCACCAGTTTTTAGAGTGTGGATTGAGTTGTGTTGACAACTCCTGGTTGAAAGCCATTTACACACTGCAAAAATGATAAAATATGAGATAGTAATTGCTTGAATTGAGTGGTTTTTATCTTCATTTGAGAACATTCTGATAAGATTTGCCAATGGGAGAAAGTCCTTTGGCAGTTGCTTTATATTCTCATTCCAAGGGAGACATTTCTTGTATCTTTTTTTAACAAGATCATTTTGCTCATTGTCACCATTGGAAAATCATGTCAAAATGTGCTCAAATTAAGATAGTTTTCCAAATTTTGAGACATTTTTTGACTTGTTGTTTATCACTTTTTGCAGTGCAGCATTAAATATTTAGAGACTTCAAGTTTACAAGGTATAGTGAGGATAATGAAGGGTTTGAGGGCACATCAGACATCTGGGATATGGAAAAGCTGTCCCCACAATAACCAGACAACACACTGCGATGTGCTTCTCCACGTTGTGTGTGTGTGTGTGTGACCTGTGTGTCCCCTCAGTGGGGTTTACTTCCAGGGCACCACCATCGGAATGGCCCCCATCATGAGCATGTGCACAGCGGAGCAGTCCGGAGGCATCGTCATGGTGAGATCTTTTATCCACAACATATGGCCTTCGATCAATAATATTTGTGTAGAGACAAGTGAGAAACAGCTGCAATAAAATACACGAAACACAAAAAGGGAAAACAATTGCTTCATCAATGCATATTCACAAATCTCTATCTGTATCAAGCTCTAGATAGAAAAATATTAGGTCTCTAAATGATTGATTTATTTAGTGTTTCTGTGTTTCTGAATTTTCCCCACTGTGGGACAAATAAAGGATCTTTTTATCTTAATCATAAACTTAAATTCATAGATTAATAAATATGACCACATTATGCCGTGTACACACAATAATGTTTTCCTCTTGGAGCCAGTATTTATCCAGGGGCCTGTACTGTTTTCTACTGTAAAACCTTTATGACCGTTCCCCTGACAAAGCCCAAGAGCCTCCTCCCAGATGGGAAAGCTGTTGCATTATAATCTACTACTGTTGTGAGACATCATTCAGTGCGTGGCAAACCCCAAATCGCTGCATCTTCATTCTCACAGAGCACCTTTGAACTCAGCAGGGCCAATCCCCCGGGGGTCTTATTGTTATTTTTGCAGGCAGCTAAACGCATTCCTTCTCCGAGCCATCTGGAGACTCACTCTACCAGGCCTTCACTGAGCCTCATGGAGTGGATTGGTGAACGCAAATGGCCTGTTGTGTCTTTTTATTGTTTTATAATGGAGGATTGTGTTGCAGACAAGGAAATGGAAATAATGTCCTATGCAAAATCGCATTTTGTCTCTTGTGTCTATTTTATGGCCTTCAACTTGAACTCTTCACAAAGACAAGCAGGCAAAGTTATCAGAACTATAGAGAGGCACTATTTATAAAGATTCTTAGTTTGTCAGACAGACAGAAGACATGTTCTATTGTCGATGGTAGAGTCGAGACACGTACAAAGATTTTCAGAATACAAGGGATTTTTCAAGCATGGAGGAATGGAGACGCTTCGATCAGCAGCTGCCAGGGTGCGACCAGCTTCGGCCTTGAGATAACGAAAAGTGGAAATTCGCTACCTTGTGCATATTGTTAAAATGACGAAGACAGGTTTTGTGTTCAAACCGGAAAAGTCTTGTAAACTTTTGTCAACAAATCAGACTCAGTGGGGAAACGTGCTGGTTTCATTAAAGTAGAAAACATGGACTGTATATAGATGATGATATAGACAATGCTAACCTGCTAGCTCAATGAATCCCAATAGGTAAATGCTCATGGACAAAGTTTTGCTCCAACTCGCTCTGGCTCTTATTGACTTACATTGAAAAGTAAACCCCTCTAGCCTAGTAACCGTTTGCGTCACACTCATTTTGGGCTTAAAATAATCGGTGGTTTAGCCATTTCAACAACAGGACTGCCCCCTGTTACGAGGCTACCCCCATCAGAACAAACGCCCATATAAGGAAATTGGTAGACTTATATTTGCAGCTAGTTAAGAAGCATTCACAGCTAGTTATCTCTGTATATGTATAGTGCGCCTTGTGTGCTCCTACTACTGTCCTGCCACATCGACGTTTCCCCACTGTGGGTTGTATAAAGGTTCTCTTATCTTATGTCAAATATCAACTTAATTTTAAGGCAGCAGACAAACCTTGTATCCCTACTCGAAATTTACAGTGCATTTGACTTTGCCTGGGAACCATCAGATAATCCAAACTCCTCAATGACACCCATTATAGCCCCCTCTCCTCTCCTCCATTCCTGTCTCGTCAGCTTATTCCTCTCATTCTCTCCCAGGAAAAGGTCAATCCACCCACCTTCCTATCCCTCACAAAAGTTATATAGAGACTCAGATATTTTAAATTATACCCCATTTTTTCCCCGCTACTTTCTGCCGACCACAGCTAAGAGCTCGGACCTCATCAGCTTATGAAGGTATGGGAGGTGTTACTGGAATAGTGGCAGTGGGTTTTTTGTATAAATCTCGGTTGGAGTGCTGACAGTCTGTTTCAATAGGCCCCAGAAGTGCATTTCATCAGTCCGTTCTGCAGATGCTGAATAATGTAAGTGACAGGAGCCGCTCTCACGCTATAGGCCGACCTCTGCAGACAGATTCTACAAAAAAACAAAAAAAACGCACTGGCTGTTTTATTTATATATGCAAGGATCACACAGTCTCTATGATGATCTATCCTCCAATGCCAAGATATGAGTGTAGAGAGGTATATGGAGAGAGAGAGGTCTGAGAAAGAAATTTGAAGACGTAATGGAACCTTGCGATCAGAAAAGGGGAGATACATCGGGTGTACGTCATGGTTTAGGTGTATTTCCAGTTTTATTTTGTATCTTGTTGACCCCTGTGGCTTCCTTGATTCTACTTCCTGTTGTGTGATTGCCTGCCCCACCCTTTTGGGGCCCTATAGGGGTGCCCTTTTTAAAGCACTTACAAATTAGTTGGAATTTGATGAATTTCAAACATTCACAATCTATACAAACAATTATTCAAAGAAGAAATGAATGAAAAAAAACCTGATTGTTCAAAAGGTATGGCATTTTGGCACGTCAAATGATATGTCCTGGACTTTATGCAATATTTTAAGATTCAGATTCAGATTAATTTGATTTGCCATGTGCAGTATAAAAACCACATTGGAATACATTTGCAATAAAAGGTACTCTGTGCACCAACAGAATAAAGAGCACAATACAATGTAATATAAAATACACATACACATACACTGAACATAAATAAAAACAACTGACACTGTGGCACCGATTGACAAAGAAACCAATACAAGGGGTAAAAGCAACCATTAAAGAGCTCTGTTTAGACACCTAACAGCTTGTGGGAAGAAGCTGCAACCGATAGCTTCTGCCCGAGGGAAGAAGCTGGAACATGGCTTTACCAGGGTGGCAAGAAGAGTTATTGATGATTTTAAGAGCTCGGTTTGAAAGTCAATATATCCATCCATTTGCAATATTATAATTCAATGCAATTGCAATTATTTTTGTATAGCCCAAAATCACAACCGCAGTTATCTCGGAGGACATTACAAAGCTGTGGATTCGCCAACAACAGATTGGAGAATCAAACTGTTCAAACACAGGAAATGCAATGAAAAATAACACATTGGTCCATAAGGGGCAGATGACCAATGTCCATAAATGTTGTTGATTGTCAAGTGTCCTGGATCATCACCAGTAATCTTGTTGCTCGTTGATTTTGTGTTGGGAAAAATAATGTCAACTCCCACTACCAACACGACAGCATACATAACAGATTACATTTCTTGAATTTTTCGTTTTTTACACCTTTCGTGCCGTTTCCCATCCTGATCATTTAACTCCACATTTCTCCATGTGTTGTGTTTAGCCTCTGGACCATCTCCTTGTGCAAATCTCTCGATGTCTCAATGTTTGTGGCCGTCTTCGCGTGATCTTTTTCCCCTTTTTCACCGATCCGTCTCTTGCTTTCGCTCTGAGCTGACTCACATCTGGCCACTTCTCATCCCCCATTTCACAACACGCACCGATAAGAACTAACCCCGTGTTTGGCTAATCTGAAATGTTGTACAATTAAACTGGCTTCCCTCAGGGCTTGTCAGAAAAACCGGTTGGACAGAATTACATGTATAATTTCTCAAAGCCCTCGGAGAATGTCGTCAGTGATAGAAATGTCTGGATTTAATTACTTTGCGATTGAAGTGTAGCGAAGCATCTCCCAAGGAAATCATCACTTGTGTCTTTTCTAGAGAACAAACAATTGGGATGAAGTCATGTGATTGTAGATAGCAGGGTTTAGCTCCTTAGTTTTCTATTTCCTGTGATTTGGCCAAGATACTGTCTGAGTGCATTGTTTTGTACTCTGCAACTTATCTCCCCAACCATTTAATCAGGAAGTATGTTTCAACTGCCCTCAACTCAATTCAATTTATTTGTGTAAAGCCCAGAATCACAACAGCAGTAGTCTCGGAGGACATTACATATTCACCAACATCAGATCAGAGAATCAACAGTTCAAACACAGAAAATGCAATGATAACAAACTAGACCCTTCGACCCTCCTGCATTGGCAAGGAAACCTTGGGGAGGCCCATATTGAGAAAGGGAGCTGCTCCCACGGATAGTCAGGCTGTAAAACCAGAGCTTTGGCTGTAGATCAAGGACTCAAGCTGTAGATCCAGGACTGAGGCTGTAGATCCAGGACTGAGGCTGTAGATCCAGGACTGAGGTTGTAGACCCAGGACTGAGGCTGTAGATCCAGGACTCAGGCTGTAGACCCAGGACTGAGGCTGTAGATCCAGGACTGAGGCTGTAGACCCAGGACTGAGGCTGTAGATCAAGGACTCAAGCTGTAGATCCAGGACTGAGGCTGTAGATCCAGGACTGAGGTTGTAGATCCAGGACTCAAGCTGTAGATCCAGGACTGAGGCTGTAGATCCAGGGCTGAGGTTGTAGACCCAGGGCTGAGGTTGTAGACCCAGGACTGAGGCTGTAGTTCCATTACTCAAGCTGTAGATCCAGGACTCAAACTGTCAATCCAGGACTGAGGCTGTGCGGTGCAGAACCCTCCACCACAATGTCAAAGCATAGACTCTTTGGAATATTGTGATGTCACATGAACACAGCTTATTGAATGATGGGTCTGCTCTCTCAGGATCACTCGGACAACCCTCTGGGCGCAGCCGTCACTTTGGCCCACGAGCTCGGACACAACTTTGGGATGAACCACGACACTCCGGAGCGAGGCTGCGGCTGTCGAGTGACCGTGGACCGCGGCGGCTGCATCATGACGCCCTCCACCGGGTAAGAGCCGCGGTTCCACCCCAGAACTCACAGAGCAGACAATTTGATGGCTACTAGTTTTGGACGCAGCTTATGCACATGTCTGGTCTTTATAACTTTTCATCATCGTCATCATTTTAAAAAATCTGGTGGAAAACACATTTTCTGGGGGAATTTCTCAAAAGTCCATGGGAGCAGTCAAAACTATGGTATAAATTGGCTTGAATATGTGTTTGCATTTTAAGTTTCCGGCACAAATTGTCAATGTGGATTTGTCCCTAATGCAGATGCAAATAGTACATTACTCATGCAATAACTACTCTTTCTCTCCACTTCTGACTGTAACTGCACCTTTGCTCTTGGAGCCCATTTTGTAAAGACACTAAATCCTGTTTTCTATGATGACTAAAACTCCTTTCTAAATTGGTCATTGATTTTCTTATAGCATCTTAGTTTTGTGGACCCAATAATCAAACATAGAAACTTAGATCTAAAACAGGACGAGAGCAGGGATAGTTACCGCGTCAAACACACCAGTCTTTATCGGCTCCTATTTACTGAATTTGAGCATCTGGCTTTTCTCAAACCGGAATCACAATGAGGCGTTTTGAATAGTTATTTTGGATTATTTTGGATTCCTAATAGCTGAGAGGGAGTAGCTGGGCTTCTGGAGCTGGTGGGGGGTCGATCGAGAGAGAGATATGCTGTTGAAGCCTCAGGCAGGTGGAGTCCAGGCATAAGAGAATCTGAAACTTTCATATGAGACCAGTGCTGAGTTCCTAATGAAAGCCATTCCACTGACGATCGTCTGTAGAAGCATGAATGAGTTGGAGGGTTCGCTGGATGCGCTGAGAATTATGGGAAAGAAAGTTAGATTTTGATCCCCTATTTGCATTTCTATATGTGCACTGAAACAAAACAATATCATGCTTAACTTAGATTACAACAAGATCAATTCCATTCCATTATCTTCCGCTTTATCTGTGGCCGGGTCACAGGGGCAGCAGTGGGAGGCGCCCAGTTCACGCCAACTGGCTTGGAGAAGCAGCTCTGCGCTCCTCAAAACTCTTTTATTATTTTTCAATTTTAAATTACGTGTGTGCATGGTGTGTGTGTGTATGAGCATGGTATGTGTGTGTGTGTGTGTGTGTGTGTGTGTGTGCACGTGTTTGATTGTGTTTGAAGTTATTAAAGTGATAGTATGTAACTTTAAATCCATCCATCCATCCATTTTCTTCCGCTTTATCCGTTGCCGGGTCGCGGGGGCAGCAGTCTAAGCAGAGACGCCCAGACTTCCCTATCCACACACACCTCCTCCAGCTCGTCCGGGGGGACCCCAAGGCGTTCCCAGGCCAGCTGAGAGACATAGTCCCTCCAGCGTGTCCTGGGTCTTCCCCGGGGCCTCCTCCCGGTGGGACGTGCCCGGAACACCTCCCCAGGAAGGCGTCCAGGAGGCATCCGGAACAGATGCCCGAGCCACCTCAACTGGTTCCTCTCGACGTGGAGAAGCAGCGGCTCTACTCCGAGCTCCTCACCCTATCTCTAAGGGAGCCCAGCCACTCTGCGGAGGAAGCTCATTTCGACCGCTTGTATCCGCGATCTCTGTAACTTTAAATGATTTACAAATTTTAAGAATTGTATTAAATTGACCTCCTGGCCTTAAATGATGATAACAATGAAATGACTTATGAATAATAAGTCATTTCATTAGTTCTAATATTACGGGTAAGTCCCGCCTTCCCTTCTCTTAGCTATAGCTCAAAATCCACGGTGACGTCCACGTTAACCAATCGAGTCATGCCAAGGGCTGTCAATCGTCAGCGCTGATGCTCGTAGCTGCTCATGCTCAGTTGTTTGTTTTCGCGGAGCCCCCAAATCAAGCCTCTATTAGGCTCTGGAACTACATGAAAACTGAACAAAGAATTCTGAACATCCGCGCTGAGTTACCCATTTATATACTGAACCTATATCCATAATCATTTATATACTGAACCTATATCCATAATCATTTATATACTGAACCTATATCTATAATCATTTATATACTGAACCTATATCCATAATCATTTATATACTGAACCTATATCCATAATCAGATCCTCTGCAGATGTGTCCTATAATGTTCAATCAATGAAAATAGCTACTTCTGGGTTTGCCGCAATCTCTTTTTTTGTGCATTAAAATTTTTTTTTTTCATGAATATGTTCACAAATAATTCTGAAAAACTCTGTGCATGTGTATTGATAATGTATATGTATAATGTGTTCTCTGATTAACATTTAAATGTGTTACGGAAACGTAGGCGTAGACCAGGGGTGCTCAATACGTCGATCGCGATCTACCAGTCGATCGCAAAGGTAGTATTGGTAGATCGCATTAAATAAATAAAAAATTACACATTCTAAACGAATATATACAAAAAACTCCGGGCAAAGTGGAGATTTTTGAAAACTCCGTTAATGCATTTGTGTGTAGACAGAGATAACCGGAGTTTTGCGTTCTCGCACGCCACAGTACCCCCCTAAATTCCTCTGATCACTGAAGCATGGATCATACTACCTTAAAAACTGTGCTGTGAGATGCTCGCAGCAGCGAACATCCTCCACATCAGAGAGCAGCAAAGTGATCGCGGGGACTCACGCTCGAAAACAACTAAACCAGGACTAAACCAGGACTAAACCAGGGCTGAGGACGGGGTCAGTGCTTGTAAACATACATCTTTACTCTGAGTGTCTTCTATGACTGTAAAAGTGCCGTTACCGGCGTCTGCATCAAAGCTCCGCCCACTTCTGTGTTTTTCCCCAACGCAGGACAGGACGTAAGAGACGCACATGTTTGGAATGTTACGAATGTGATTGATAACGCAGATGTGTGGATGCAAATTATTTTATAAACTGAGGAGGGGAAATATTTGGATTTTAAAAAAACAGGCATGGCACATGGACATGGCACCACAGTCAAATGACATCTGTGTTTTACTCAGTAATGTTTTACTGACACTTAGGTGACTGCACATGCGCAAACAACCGCGCTCAGTGCAGGAAAGCTAAACCACGACAAACTTGTCAGCGAGTTACCACCAATTTTCCGGACTATGCCTCCCTGGCCGATTCAATTCAGTGCAAGTCATCAGAGTAAACTCGGGTAATGACAAAAAATGTACATAGGTAATTGTGTTGTGTTGTGCTATATTGGCTCATGCGGTTTTGCATGTACATAAACATACATTGTAGGTATAAAGAATATTTTTAGAAATAAATATGTGATTTGCATTTTTGTAGTAGGTAGATCATTTTGACTTGATCCTTTTATAAGTAGCTCGCATACTGAAAAAGTGTGAGCACCCCTGGCGTAGACCAATCAGAAAGGAAGGGGAAGGGAGCTTGCGTCGTTTTTTTCAAATCAAGTACCTCTCTGTCTCTCTTTCTGACAAACTGCAGACAATCACTTTAAAACTTGTCAACAACAAAATCACTTATTTTTAGATCTTAAAACATGAAATTCTAAGGTAGTTATTACAGTAGCTATCTAAAACCTGGTCATGATTACTACTTTTGCATCTGCTCTTTATCGCTCCTGCTGGACAAATGAAGGAATTGAACCAAAAGAACACAAACAACACATAATCATTTCTCTTTTCAAGAAACACAAACTTCCAATGCAATATTCTTATCATAATAGCACTAAATAGTTTCATTACAACTTCATTAACTTCCATTAACACCAGATTATTTACTCATTCCTTGTATTTTGACAGCAGCTCGGTCCTAACAGGTATATCAACTTGCAAATGTCGACAAGGATGTGCTGTTTAGAAGTTATTAGTTTTCTTTGGCCCTGGTTCCAGCGGTTTTGGGAAGTAGTCCTGTATTTTCTCTGAAAAAACGCCTCTTCTCTCTGTTTTAGTTGGAATTTGACCACACAAAACAACCACACTGATTCAGACTTTTATTGTAAGATATTTTATTACTTGCTAAGGACTTCCCTGGTCTAACTTGTATCCAAGAACAGAACGTTTTTGAGAAAAAGGACTAAAGAAGCTGACAGAAAACTGCTTTTCCGTGTTCTTGCATGTGCCGTCTCAGGATCCCCTCATATCCAGTTAGCGGTGGCAGTTTGACACGCATGCATTTTTAATATTTGAAAATCTCTTTTCTGCTTCAAATAAATACTTAAACATATTTTAGAGTGGTATGTACGCATTCCCACGTCTCCTGAGGAAATAAAAAAGTAAATTTCAAAATAGGTTGAAGACATTGAAGAATATAATGTTATTGTTAAGGGCTGATATGTCATTGAATCATTGACTGTCTATAGATGGACAAAGAGAGAGAGAGAGAGAGACTAGCAACCAGAGAAAGACCTGAGAGAGAGACCAGAGAGAGAGAGATCAGAGAGAAAAAGACCAGAGAGAAAGATTAGAGAAATGGCAAGGAGAGAGAGACCAGAGAGAGACAGATCAGAGAGAGAGACCAGAGACAGAGATCAGAGAGAGACTACAGTAGAGCAGGAGACCAGAGAGAGAGATCAGAGAGAGACCAGAGAGAGAGAGACCAGAGAGAGAGAGACCAGAGAGAGACAGATCAGAGAGAGACTAGAGCAGACCAGAGAGAGAGATCAGAGAGAGACCAGAGAGAGAGACCTGTGACCAGTGAAATACTTGAGAAAGAGAAATCAGAGACAGAGACATAGACCAGAGAGAGACCAGAGTTTTGTCACCATTACATGTGGTAAGATATTACCACCTGTGTGTGTGTGTGTGTGTCTAAACTTTCAAACGCAACTGTACATCTACCATCAACATTTAGATTGTGTAGTATTCTGAAGTTGCGAGGCAAATTGATTGCAACTTTGATTTCTGACTTTCCCTCCAGTTTAATGTGAAATTCTGGACATTTACGCTTCCAAACCAAACATAACACAAACTCTTCCTTCTCGGCGAATCACATTTTTAATACGGACACACAAACGAACGCTAATCCGACCCGCTGCTTTCCAATAATCCCCTGTGCATGTTGTTA